ATAAAGTCTCAATATACAGAAGATACAAAATCTCAATATACAGAAGATGCGAAATTTCAGCATATAGAAGACGTAATGGAAGATCGAGAAATTCACGAGACGCCGGCTAGTCCGAGTCCTCCAGTTAGTCCAGATTCAGGTTCACAAGTGGAACCGATAATAATTCCCACAGAACGTAGTATTGACTTTGATGATAAATCTGATAGTAAACCAGCTTCTCCTGATCCTATCGAAACTTTACCAACGAAAGCTCCTATTATCATACCTACGGAGAGAACAAGCAACGATTTAACTCTTTCTCCTCAGCTTGGTTTATGCAAAAACACGGATGATGTATCCTTCACTGAATGGGAGATGCTCGAAGAAAATGAGAATCGAGAAATTTCGAGAAATAAAAATTGGCAAACGATTATTACTTCCAATCATGATGCGATTTCGGTTAAAATGATCGGAAATAATCTGCCTCAGAAAATAAACGATGGGAGAGTTATATCTATGCCAATATCTTCTTCTCGACAAATTTCTTCCGGTTCTAGAAGGTTATCATCTATATTGGAGAAGAATCGATTAACGGAACAAGTTTCATCAGACTCTAGATCAGAATCACCGGTAAATGTATCTGATACAAGATTGAAATCACCAGACTCGGAGATTCTATTTTCTAAAGTTTGTAAGAATTCATCATTAAAATCAAAAGATTCGATTTCTAAGCCTACTTCGAAACCTTCAGCACCATTATTACTTTCACCACCTCCAGTTTTTACGGAACCACCATTATCTATGGAAGATTTGGCAGAACTTCTGAACGAAGAAGATGACAATAAAATGGAAAAGAAGAGTGATAGATTAAGAGATGATGCGGGGAAATTCAAAAAAGAAAAACATGAATTAAGCACATTAAGTGGAAATAATAAGGATATAAAAGCATCCAAATCATTTTTGTTAACACAAGAGGATATTGACAGTGAAAGTGAGAGACGTTGGGAGGAAATAGATAAGCATATAGTTAAGTTAACAAGTAGAAAATGTTTACCTAGTGGTTCAAGTTCTACGTCGATGACGAAAGTCGATACTTTGAAATCCAATGAAATTAAGGGACCATCTCAAAATAATTTAAGTCATACATCAAGTTCTTTTACGACAAGTACATTAATCGATAACAGAAATTTATCATCTTCACCTGGTTCCAAAACGGAACTGCGTTTCGCGGATAATTATGAACGACATTCTCGTCAGTCACGTGACAACCAGAATCATGATAAAGACAAAACTAATATACATAATATGCATTGTCGATCTGATGACGATATATCCAATCAGATTCCTATGCATCATGGCGGTTCGATTAAGCCGGATGATAGGAATGCTATATTGTATCAGAGACGTCAAAATAATATCGGTCCTGAATTAGTACCATCTAGAATAGACACGGAATTCAGAATGGAGGGTTCTGAATATTTTAATAGACAAGTAGCTAACCAAGGACATTGGCCCTCTATGCATCTATCTGTTAATACTAATGATTTTTGCAACAATCAATGGCCACCGTCTTCCAATTTTAGCGGTGTGTCTAATTCTCCTGCCCAAACATATCAACATGCAATCGGTATTTCACACCAAGAAATGTGGAATATAGGTTCTAACAGAGAATCCATTCATATGGATCCCCATCAAATGAATGAGAGTCAAATGAGGCCTAATCAGTTTTCTTCAAATATGAATACTGGTATCAGGCCTCTAATGAGCCCAAACACAAGACCTCAAGATTTGAATCATATTCCTCGATCAGATGATATGCCTAATATTGATGTTGCTAATGTATCAACTATACAGCCTTTAATATCACCTACGAGATTTTCTGTTGGACCACAATATAGAAATTTTCAAGGTGAAAATAGGTCTTATGATCCATCTTTTGATAGAGGAATGGAATATTCTCATCAAAGACAGCCATGGGATTCTCCAGTTAATCGATCGAATGATATATCTTATAGAACAGAAAATGAAGTTCCTTGTGGTATGATAGGACCCGCGGAAGGTCCTTCAGGACCATCATATCCAAGGCCTAGTACACCTTGTCCTTGGAATAGAGATAGAGATCGTAGTATAGGTAGAGGTCGTAATACTTATTATAATGAAAGAAATAGAGGAGAATCGAGGAATAATTTTAATCGTGATACCCGCAGGCCTGAATGGTCTAGGGACAATCATAATGACTGGGATTGTAATCGTTTTAGTAGGGATGCTAGAAATATATCTGATCGCGATCCACGCGTACGCATAGATCACAATGTAATTAATCAGAGTTCTGGCCAATCAAGGGATAATAGTACCTTAGCTAGAGATCCACGATTGGCCAAAGACAAGCATTTTTCCATTACCAAAGGTAAAGATAGTAATTATAATGAAAGAGATCCTAGAAAACGTTCTGCGGCATCATCATTTATTGCATCAACGTTTAGAAAGACTAAAGAAAAACCTAAATCACCTTCAAAACCAACAGACAGTTATAAACGTATCGAAAACGTAGAAAATAATAAGCAAGTGCAAGAGAAAACGGCAAAAGATAAGATGCAATCACCTCTAGAGAGTTTATATGGAGTTATTGATACAAAAGCGAAGTCTGCACAAGGATATAGTTTACAGAATTTTAAAATTCCTAAAATAAAACGTAATGAGCCCTCTGAGTCACCTACATCAAGCCATGTTTCTGAGGAAATTAAAGAATGTCTTTTAGAAAAACAAGATGATAAAATTATTAAAAAAGATAAGGAAGATACTACTGCAGAAGTAAGTAGTAGCAGTGATGGAAAAGTTTCTCTTGAGAATTGGAATGAAAATAATGTCATTGCTGATAAGAAAGAAGAATTGAAAGAAGATAATACTTCTAAAGAATCTGTAGAAGACAAAAGTGATATGAATATTGCAGAGTCGGATTCTATCACTATTACTTCTTCTAAATTATCTGGAAATATTGAAAAACTTAAAAAAGAAGAAGTAGAATCTGAAGGATCCAAATCAAAAGACGAGGTAACTCAAGAATGGATAGAAGCTTTAATTAGAAAGTCTTTTGAATTTGGAGAGGGAAAAAAATTTGTTGAACAGGCGAAATTCATGCAAAAATTGGGTGAAGTATTGCAAGCAAAGAAGTTGAAGAAAATTAAGAAAATTATTGAATCAGAATCAGAGAGTAGTAGTTCAGATAAAGATGATACTTCTGAAACAAAAAAAGTTCAAATAAGAAAGAAACGACGAGTAATAGTTTCAGACAGTTCAGATGAAGAATCTCTTGCTGAAAGACTTGGTATTTTGAATACGCCAAATAAAGAAATTCAAAATATAAATAACCAGAAACAAGAAAAAAATAAAAACAATAAAAAAATGTCTCTTGAAATTAAATCTTCAGATCTTCTAGAGAAAAAATTAGATGGTAAAGATTCTACTACTCAAAAAGAAATTATATCAGAAATTCAAAGCATTGTTGAAGAAAAAGAGTCAAATTCCGAAACAAGTATTGAGAAAAAAGAAAGTATTTCAAGTATTCAAGAAATTTCTAAGGAAATTAAGGAGAATGTTAAAGAAGATTTAATTGAAGATAAAGAAATTATTAATAAAATACCAAAAGTTAAAGCAAAAAGAAGAAACTCCTTGGAAATGTTACAAGAAGATATTAGGGAAATGTTTATCAGTGATGGTGTTGTTGCAGCAACTGGTCATCGATTATGTAGAACACAAAAAGAAAATCAAAATAATGCTGGTGCTAGTACTTCCAATCAGAATATTTCCAATCAGAATATTTCAACTACTAAAAAAGATGAATCGAATAAACGTGATTTAGAAATAGATCTTGATGTAGAAGATACATCGGGAGTTTCTTTGAAACAAAAGAAATTTATAAAATCACGTGTTTTATCAGAGGAATCAAATAAATCTAAAGTGAAACTGAAGAAAGAAGTGCAACGTATTACTCGACAGCGTTCAAAACAATATAATCATAGTTCAGACAGTGAAGAAGATCAACCATTGGCATTAAGAACAGAACTGGTTCAAAACTCTAATCAAATTGTAAATAATGACTCTGAAGTATTAAGGCGAAGCAAACGTATTATTAATAAAGAAGTGATAAAAGAACCGCGTGTAGTTGTTGAGAAAACAGATATTTCTAAGTTAGAATGCTCTAAAATGATGTTTGATAGCTCGTCCGATGAGAGTTTTGGAATAGATGTGTCTGAATTGGCAGCTGCTGTAGATATCTCACTTCATCCAGATAAACAACTTGAATCAGAGGCAACAGAATCCACAGAGAAAAAAAAATTTAATCAAATTTCTTTTAGAAAGTCTACAAGAAAAAAGGGAACTGAATTGATGAATGAAAGTAAAGATGATATTCAATTTACAGATGAAGAAAGTATTACTTCCGATATTTCCATGTCAAGTAGTATAATTTCTGGAAAAAAAACAGATAATAATACAACTAAAATAGAAATGAATAGCAACGAAAAATTATTAAGCAATATTTTAGTGGGATTAGTATCTGTAAAAAATGAAGTAGATAAAGACTCATCAATAGCAGATAAAGGAAGCGAAGTAGATAAAGATTCATCAGTTGCAGATAAAGGAAGTGATGCAGATGTAGACGATGATATTAATGATCAAGTACCAACTGAAACAAATACTAAAAAATGTTCAATAAAAAAGAAGAAGAAAAAGTGGCAGATGGGTATTTTGTCTAAAAAAAGGAGAAAGAAAACTCTTATAACTTCTTCTCCTAAAGGTGATTGTGAAATGGATACTTCCATTAAAATAGATAATATTTCAGTTTCAGAAAATACAATAAACAAAGATACTAATTCATCCAATAATCAGACAAATCAAACTTTAGAAGATAATAATAAAGATACTTCAATTCAAGAAAATTCAAAAGATCAAAAAACAGAACTGTTAACATCTGATTTCATAGAGAAAAAAAAATCTTTATCTAAAATTGATTTTACTGAAGAATTATCGGAAATTAAAGAAGAAAAAGTTATAGAAAAGCCTCTCATTAATATTACAAAAAATGTGGTTAAAAATAAAAATGAGGAAGAAAAATCATTTTCTGATTTGGATATAAAAAAATTAATTGATTATGTTTGGACAGGACAAGAAAGATATAAATGCTTGCTTTGTTTTTTTATGGGAAAAAATATTGTTCATCATTATAAATTGAGCCATCCTGGAAAAGAAATTCTAATTTCTAGATTAAAAGTTTCAGATGCTTTGTTAGCTATTCAAGACGCAAATGATAGTAATATAGAAAATATATCAAGAGAACTTCTTACAGAAGAAGTTTGTAAATTTCGTTGTAGATTTTGCTCCTTGTTTATTGAAGGTGCTGTTAAAGTTGCAATGGAAGCATTTTATGAACATTGTACAACACATACAGGTGAATACAGATTTCGATGTAACAGTTGCCCTTATCAGGCAGTAGCTAAATCTTCCATGAGGACTCATTATTATAAAGTATGTCGAAAATTTAAGGATACTTTTGCTGAAGCAATAACTGAAGATGAAGTACCTAATGAAAATCGTATTTATGGTTATTTATGCTCATATTGTAATTATGTTCAATTAAAGAAATCCAATGTAGAGGAACATGTTGATTTGTGGCATAAGAATGATTTGAGTGTTAAGATTATTAAGATAAATATGTCATTAGAATCTGTTGAAGAAGAATCTAAAGTAAAATTAGAAACAATTCAAGCAAATTCAGTAAAAGCAGAAGGAATAAATAATATGATAAACAATATAGCAACTTCTGTTGAACAGAATGATGATGATGTGACTGAAATAAGAATAACAAAGAATAATAAAACTTCTGAAAATGAAATTAATAAAAATGAAATTAATAAAGATATACTTGAAGTTAAATCACAAAATAATTGTTCTGAATTACAAGCTACTAATGATGAAAAGAAATCTTCACAAGCAGATATAGATTCTAGTTTGCCATCAGGAAATTTAAGCGTGTTCGTTTGTCCACCAGAATTAGAAAAAAAAGAAGTAGAAATTCAATTAGAACGGAAAAGAAAAATGCAAGAAATTATTCAAAATATTGGTATTAGATTACAAAAAGATGCATCCAAAAAAGGTTTATCCATTATAGATAAATTAAAAGATAAAATGAAGACTAATATAGCAAATAATGAAATTGATTCTAATATAATATCAAATAATATCAATTCTTCAAATAAAAATCCAATTAATTCCACGATTTCATTATCTAAAAATAATATTGCTAATTTATCTCAAAATCCTGAAGTTTCATCTGTAATAGATACAGAGAATAAGTTATCTGAAGAAACTTCAAATGATATAAAATCTAATGATTGTATACAAACACAACTATCTACCATAGACTGTGATTCTAAATCTGAAAAAGATCCAACAAATTCAAAGATTAAAGATCCTTTGATAACATTGGATCAGAGAAAGGATGCTGAAAGTGATGCAGAAATCAGTGATAACGAGAATACGAAAGATACTGCTCCTATTTACGATTCTGATTCCAGTAGTGAACAATCGGATAGTGAACTGCCAACAGATGTTAATGTCATTTTGAAAGAAACTTCAAATATTAATGCATCTTCGAAAGATCCAATGCTCACCACTATTCAGAGACTTGCTGCTCAACTCCAAGCTGCAAAACCACTTGAAAAATGTAAAGAAGAAAATTGTTCTAAAACTGATTGTTCTAAACCTAAGGAATCTAAAAGAACTTCTCCTTCTATTCCTAAACCACCAGACGTTGTTCCAATATCAAGTATTAAGAAATTTATTGGAAAAAAAGAAAATAGATTCCATGAGATATCACATGAATTACACGATGATAGTAATCCACCTAAAAATTTCATCCGATTGAGACGTCTTAGTGGAGATATGTTGTCTGTACCCATACAGTCTCTTGACTTTCAAGATGTATCATTATCGAAAAACAGTATGTATATATTTATATATGTATAAATAATATAATTATATGAATTATTTTTTGTCATTATATAAAAATATTTTATCAAATAGATGTAAATCAACCAACTCCAGATAAAATGGATTCCGTATTAAAATCAGATATGGATGAAGAATGTTCTTTTTTGAAAATCGAAAATGTAGTTAGTCTTGCGCCGAGAGCTGATAACGATGGTGCCGAAAGTCCTATTGTAAGTGATGAGATATGAATTCGCTTAAAATTTTTTCATTTCAAATTGTTATATATATTATTATATTATTTTTATAGGTACATGACATAAGAAAAGCAGTTGAAACATCTCCTATAAAAAGTAAAGGTGTATCTTTACTAAAAAAATCTAATTCGCCTTTAATTTTAAAAAGACTTAATACTGTGACTATTACACAACCATTAACGAAAAATATTCAAACAGTAGTGCAATCTACACCAGAAACAGTAAAATTGATTCCAGTAAAAAGTATTTCTCCTTCTCCAGTTTCTGTAACTACCACGCAACTTACAACCAATTTCATTCCAATTGCTCCAAAGTCAAAAATTATTCAAGTAGACAATAAATTATCTTTTCCTATTTCTACAAATAAGAATTCAATAATGACTCCAATGAGTACACGAACTGTGAGTGTTGCTGGGTCACCACAATCTTCAAACTTAAACTATAAAATTTTAAAAGTCGTTCGAACTCCAACTATTTTAAAACCAAAAGAACCTGTACCTCCACCTACAGCAATTAAATTAAAATCTGCAGATGCATACAATACAATGTTAAAGGCTACAAAATTGATTCATTTATATAAATGTATGGCTTGTCGCTTTACTACTGATATATTAGCACAATATCATCAACATTATCTTCAACATGCAAGTGAGGCAGAGAAAAAAAAGTTATCACCACCATTTGATTACCAGAAATGTGCCTATTGTCACATGATATTGGAGGATTGGAATCAAATGAAAATACATATCGATGAAAAACATGCGCATTGTCGTTATCAATGTATTTATTGCTTTTATAGAGCTGTTGTTCCTTCTTATGTGCAAATACATCAGGTATAGCGAAAATTAAATTATTTTGTAATAATTTAATTTTTGTTTTTATCATTTGTCTTATTTATAGGCAGTAGCTCATCGTGGACATCATGGTATTTTACTTGGTAAACTTATGAAAGAAATACCTTTAAAAGAAGAAATTAATCGACATGAGAATGTATTTCCTTATGTCTGTCAACATGGTATGATTTTTATATTATTTTTCATTTTGAATGAAATTTAAATAATTGAAATTTAAATTTTATTTGAATATGTAATGAAATTAAAAATATATTTATAGATTGCGGAAAATTTTTCTTTGTTCCTGAATCTTTTATGGCGCACTTGAAAAATAAACACGGTGCAAATCTTTCTACTTATAAATGTCATGTGTGTCGTGTTACATTTATGAAAATAGATCAGCTACTTGCGGTAACATTATTTATTAAATTATTTCTTTCTTAACAATTGCTTAATTTTTAAACTTATTTTTATAAAATTATATTTATAGCATTATAAAATTCACGGATTTTATAAATACCAATGCTTGTATTGTTTGCATGGTTCAGATTATTTTACTGAAATGCATAGTCATCTTAGTACATTTCATTGCGATCGGTTACCACAAGTTCTTGAAAGATCTCTTCCTCCTCAGGTTAGATATTATGATAAAATATTATTAATGAATTATCGAATCAATAACAAATTATAAGTAATATATATTTTTTATAATTATTATTTTATTTCAGCCAGTACGAAATAAAGATGTAATAGATCAATTAATTATAAGAACATTAGATGATACTTTTAAAATCACAGGAGAAATAATTGACGTGGAAAACGATGGAAAAGACAATAAAGATGTGATAAATGTTGTTAGCACATCTCCATCTCATAAGATACTTTGTTCTCAATTGTCTAAAGATATAATTATGTTGGATAAAGATGAAAATAATGTATTAAATAAATCGACATCTAATATATTTGGAATTAGCAATAATTCAAATAGTTCCATCAATTTTTCATCAAATTTGTTACAAAATGAAAAACCAAAAAATGAAGGTTTAAATGATAGTGCAATAAATAAAATGTTTGGAAATTTAATAAATGATTCTGATGTCTCTGTAACATCAGTTTCTAATAGAGAATCAACGGATAAAAGTTTATTAAATAAATCTAAAAAAAAAAGTGCTCTATCTGATAAAAGTTCTGTTGAACCAATTGAACGCAGTGAAGGAACATTTGATTGCAATGATGAATTTATAAATATCAATTTACTGGACAATCCTGATTTTCTAAAAAAAATTAATACTCGTTCTACTAACATATCTATAATTGATAATTTGACTATTAACAAAAATAAGATGGAAGATAGTGATATTGAAATAGTAGATGTTGACGATACGGAAATTCCGGCAAAAAATATAAAATCCGAATTAAATAAAAAAGATAGCATTGATACAAATGAAAAAGTAAAAATGAATCCAGAAAATAATATAAAAGAACAATTGCGTAGCGATGTCAAAGATATAAACACTAACGAAAATTCTAATAATATAAAAACTGATAAACCGCTGACTCTTGATGATATTAAAGATACTGGTTTTTCAGGAATGAAACTATATAAGTGTGGTTATGAGACGTGTGATTATGGTGCGCAAACCGCGGCACAATTAAGAATACATGTAAAAGAATGTTCTTTAGGAAATGAAAATAAAAATTTAACATGTGCTCATTGTAAAAAACGTTTTTTAAAAATTGGATTTTTATTAGAACATTTAAAATCACACGGATTAAAACGATTTGGTTGTTCATTGTGCAAAATGAGATGTACAGTGGGTTATCAAGCAATGGCACACATGAAAATGAAACATAAATATACTTATAGTAAGTTAGTTCCAGCTGATCCAAAGAATCCATCTGTAGATGGATTATTTATTGTGCAACCTATTGTAAGTAATACTTTACAATATTTAGTAAATACATGAAGTTTTGCGTATATAAATATTTTATCTATTTTTCTATAGCGTCAAAGTGGAGAACGTAAAGGGAAGAAACGTAAAACTACTAATACAAAATCAACTGAAAAAGACATTGAAAAGATAACAACAGATATTGAAAAATTTACTTTCGGTCCTGATGAAATAGAATCTCTACCACTTCAAGCTATTTACAATCGGGAAGTGCAATGTGCAATGTGTCCTTATACAACAAAAGTTCGTACGAACATTATCAGACACTTGCGATTGCATGCAAAAGATGAAAGTGTGCCAGAAAGTGGTCCTGTTAATCCTGTACCTTGCTTAGATAAAAAGGAACGGATGTTCGATAAAATGGTAAATTTAGCAAGTAGTTCCCATCAAAATGGCCGAATGGGAGGAAAACCAAAGGAAAGTAATAAAAATAACGATGATGAATTTATTCCAAAATTTATACCAGAGCATAAGAGGTACGAAATAATTTTTTTTAAAATTATGTCATAATAATATGACATAAATATAAAAATAATATAATTTTGTAAGAATGAGAGTGATTTTATCATATGTAAAAGCGTTAAATGTTTTTTTTATCAAATTTGGAAATTTTAAAAATGAATTGAAAAAGATATAAAAAATGGTAATGTTTTTTTATAATAGATATGTATGTGGTGTAGCTGAATGCAATTATTTAACAGTCGATGAAGCAATGTTAAGATGTCATTTAAAGGCTTTGCATTCTGAAGAACTATATTTTCGATGTCCTCATTGTCCACAACTACCACCAGGTCAAGAAGGATTAAATATAGCGATTGATAAAATGGGCGTTCATTTGAAAATGCACGATACCAGACTTTATAAATGTTCTCATTGCAATCATCATCATTATCATAGGTATAATGATATTTATGCCTCATATTTGGTTTATAATGCACTATATAACTTACAAATTTTAAGCACGAATTTAAAAAAGATATATTTTTTGAACATTTGACAAGCATATAAAATAAACATTATTAAAATATATATGTAAAATCTAAAATTCGAAACTGAAATATTTTTGAAATTATTGATTATGTTGAAAAATGTTTCAGATAAAAATTTAATAATTTTGAAGGACATTAGAAGGAAGTTAATAATTTATAAAAAATAATAATTTATATTGATTAAAAATATTAAAAATTTAAAAAATTTAAAAAAACTAAAATTAAAATTAAAATTACAAAAATTCTAAATATATCAAATAATGTCCTTTTGATAATGTATTAAAAATGTTTGTTTTCATTCAAAATTTCAAAACTTTTGTAAAATGTTTTTTAATATTAGTTTTTAATTTTATATCTTATTTTTCATATTGTTTGTCGAATGTTTAAATAAATTTTTACTTTTCATAGTTCATTTTCTATGCTTTTTAATAGTAATAAATTATTTACCAGGCACGTTGTAGAGAGACATCTTTCCGATAAACATCCTGAAAAAAGACCTTTTGTAAAAGTAATTAGAGAATTAGAAAACACAGAGAACAGTCAACAATCTATTCAAGAAGAGATAGAAGAAGAAATACCAGATCCGGATGGAAATCATTGGAAGTGCAACATATGTGATTATAAATGTGTGTATAAAGCAGATATGGTTAATCATACATCTATTACACATGATGAAAAATGTCAATATAAATGTAACTCATGTTCTTTTAAAACTGGTGGCAAAATTATGTTTGAACAACATGTTACCAGCAAACATTCTAGTGACTCAAATGTTGATTATATTTTAATATATCAACGAATAAAAGGTATAAATAAAAAAAATACAGATAATATAGAACAAAGTGGACAGGAAGAACCTTTTGACACTACTCCTCTTTGGAGAAGAGATATGCCTCGAATTAGACATATTCGCGGAATTCTTCTTGAAGAAGAAGATGAAATATCAACAGAATCTTCTTTAAAAATAGGAAAACGGAAAAGTGATGCAGAATTATCAAGTACTAAACCAGCTAAAATAAAACCAGGAAAATCTGGTTCTTTAGATGGTACAAAGCAAACAAAAGAAAAATCTAAGCGATCATTGTCTTGTGATAAAGTATCAATAGAAATGGAAAATGCAAGTAATATTTCTAATACAGTAGATAAGTCCAAAGAAACGAAGTCTAAATCAATTGAAGATAATGATATCAATGAGTGCGATATTGGAAGATTTGGTCCTTATGGAAAAGCAGATGGGAATATGTATGTCTGTACTTTATGTACGCAGTTTAAAACAAAATATAAACATGATATGAGAGATCATCTCTACAGAGAATTAAATTATGCTAGGCAAGTATTTTTGTGAATTTATATCATTATTGCAGAATATTTTCCTTCATTTAATGATATTAATGATATTCATTTAATGATATTAAAATATTATAGATGGCACTGTAAGGAATGTGGATATTTATCCGTAAATCGTAATGCTCTATTGAAACATTTTACTAAACATCATAATGGAGAACGTCCTAATCATGAGCCATTATCACCAGATGATGATATTGAAGAATGGGTAATTTAATCTTTATATATGTTTTAATATAATCTTTATATATGTTTTAAATATTTTAAATGCAATAAAACATTTATTGCATTATCATTTTTAATAAAACAATTAATGTTTTAACATTCAGGTTGGTACATTATTGAAGAGACAAACACTAATGATAAAAGGGTTATTAACCAAACAAAACGTAAATAATGTAGAAAATTCTGCAATTACAAACACAATTGGAAATGATTCAAAAACATGTTTCACAAAAATTACTCAAAATACTGTTACAAAAACTCTAAAAACTACAAATGTTACTGATAAATCTTTTAATAAACAAGATAATAAAAAAGAAATTAATTTAGAAGTTCAAGATGAATGTAATAAAGATAGTTCTATTGATATAAAGAAAGACAGTATATCAATGAAAGAAAAAACTGTGAAGACTATGGATGTTGAAAAAGGTAAATATCTTTAATAAAATAAATTAAAATAATCCAAAAAATTTTATATTATTTTAAAATTATAATACTAAAATTTAATTTTTAATATAGTTGGACCAGAAGAAGAACAAGAAAAACCATTTACTTGTAAACATTGCAAAATGACATTTTTCCGATGGCGTGGTTTTAAATTACATATACAATTAACACATTTAAAGCGACTTGGATTTATTTGCCCTTATTGTGATCGTAGCACGAATTCGGAGGGTTTAATGCGTCAACATATTCGTTCTAAACATCCTGGTTGTCTTGAGAAAATAGTTGAAAATCCAGCAGCAGGTGAACCGGAATTACCAGAAGAATTTTGGCAACAGGAATATGGAATCGTGTTTCCAAAGAGATATAGAAAACGAAAGAGAAAAATTAGTGGAGAAGAAGTTGTGGAAAAAAGCGATAATCAATGTCAAATTGAACCTCAAGAAAAATGTAATATCTGTAACTTCACCGCCATGAATATGACCGGTCTAAAAATACATATGAGGATACATGCAACGAAAAATACTTTGAAATGTTCTTATTGTACTTTCACTGCAGCAACAAACTCAGAAGTCTGGGAACATTGGGAAATTAATCATCCATTTTCACCATTTAAAGTTGAAGATATATCACCATCTGAATCACCTGGTGAATCCACAGAAATTGAACTCAATAAGAAGGTTATTAATGATGATTATAACAATGATATAGAAGAGGAAGTCTCTGACATCAGGGAAGAAAATTCTATTTATTATTGTTTCTATTGTTCTTTTCGTAGTAAATCTTTGAATACAGTTCAGAATCATTGGAATATGATGCACAATGATTCATTGCAAAATGATTCTACAAAAATGAAATCGAATTATCCATTTAGATACAAAGAAATGCACGTATCTTCGGAAAAATCGCTCATTAAAGCTCAATGCTCGAAAACTCAAACGGAAAGTTCTTATGAATTATACTTACAGCAGTCGCATAATAGTGATGTACAAGAAATCGAAGCTTCTGGATTAAAGCAAGAAGGTTGGATTTGTCAGTGGTGTAATGAATTATGTGATTCCGAAGTTAAAATGAAAACACATCATAGTATGTTCCATTCTCACTTACCGTTAAATTTTAAAAAACAAGAAAAAACTAAAATATCTCGGGGATATGTTTGCCCGGAATGTTCATTCACCACAACATTTATTAATGTAATGAAAAACCATGTGTCAAAACATATAAATCTATTTAAATGTAAATATTGTGATAAAACTTTTAGTTGTCCTTCTGAAGTTTCTACACATAATACCGAAGAACATCCTGATATGGAATTAAAAATAGAAAGTATACAGAATTACGAGACTTTACTTGAGAAAGTTATGGTTAAAGTCAAATGGCAAAAATCCGGACAAAGTGCTGATAAAAATGAAATTTCAATAGAATCACCGCCAAAAATTCACGCAGTAGCTAAGAAGTCTACAACTAAAAGTGCATTTCGATCAAATATTATTCCTTATAGAATAAAGGCAGTAGCTAGAAAATCTACTAATCCACATTCGAGATACCTTGCTAATCATAAAATACATAATAAAGAACAAGAAATGAAAAATAAACAATTTTCCTATTATGGTGTTCCTAGAAGTCCTATTAATTTAGCCAAATTGAATACATATATGGTAGTTGGTGGGCATCGTATGAAAGTAAATTGTACTACTCTTGCACAGTTAATTAACATCGATCCGAAGATAATATTAAAAGATCTCAAGAATGATATTAAAAATATTGCAACATTTAAGAAATTGAAATAACGAATGGAAATATAGAAGGAAATATTATTTCCCATTCTAACGAGCTATTTAATATATGATGTATAAATATTTATTATATGATCATTATTGTTAAAATGATCACTAATAACCAAAGTAATTTTCATGATATTAATATGCTTTTCTGTGACATTTAGCAAACATTATGATAATGGATTTTTATAAAATTCATTATTTTCTCATCGCATGTTATGAGGTGAGAAATGTATAATACAAAGTTGATTGTTCTATAATTATATATTTTGAACTTTTACTCGTTGTTAGTGTACATTTAGAAATTCTGAAATATAAAAGAAAAATACAGTAATGCATGTTTCATTGATGTTAGATTGAAATAACAAGCATCACATACGTACGAGTAAAATAAAAAGAAGATAACATACATGCTCTCTTGTGGTAATCTCAAAAATTAATGATAATTTCACATTAATTAAGCCTGCATTACTATATTTATATTTACTGTAATATTATGTTGTCCTTTTATAAATAACCTTACTGGACAATTGAATTTAATAAAAAAAAAAGAAAATTTTTCATACTTAAATATAATAATAATGATTATATTCAATTAATATAATGTCAATTTATTGTCAGCACTGTATATCAATGTAATGTGTATATATACACTATACTACATACATACACTCAGAAAGTATATAAACTCTGCATATATATTTTTAATTCTAAAAAAATTATAAAAATTTGTTAACTAAGAAGATAAATTGTGCCATATTGATTTTATGAAAAATTATCCTAAAAATTAAAATGCAAAATTATAATATTATAAATATATAATATTAAAAATATATTGAAATCAGAGATAATTTTAGATAATTCGAAAAAATGAATTATTAAATTAATTTATTTTGAAATATGTAAACTTTCTCAATATAAATATTCGTTTTTTTTTTATAAATAATAACGTGTAATGTAATACTGATAAAAAATTATCTTAAAAATCAAAATGAAAAATTAAAAATTATAAATAAAAATATATTAATATTCATTAGTTAAATAATTCGAAAAGATAAATTATTAAATTGATTTATTTTGAAAAATCTTTTGTGTAAACATGTTTTTTTTCTACAAATAGTATTATTATAATATGTAATGTTATTTTTAAGTACTTATATTTAATATCGAATAATTTCTATGTTTCATTAATTTGAAACGTTTGTTAAATTGTTTATAAAAAATATTAATTATCTCAACGCAAGAGTAAGTAGTATAGTAAAATTAAAAATAATTTTATAAAAATGTGTGAGAAATCAATGAAATAAATTTAACATTTGAAATTTTATATTTATCGATATTGAAAATAATTATCGATTATATAAATAATAACACAATATTTATTTACAAATTTATTTTGTAAGATTTAAAAGTTATAATTTCTTTTTATGAAAGTATCGATAAGTAAGAATTTTACATGTTAATAATTATATCATATTTGATATATTATCTCGAACAAAAACCATGTATATAAAATACATATTTTGCACATAGGTTTTTGCTTAATATTTTTAAAATCAATCTTTTTTAATATCGAACGTAAAATAAAAAAACAAGACTGAATGTCCTGTAAGTAGTTATAAGAAAAATACTGTAAATATTGTAAAATTGTAAATATAAAATTTCACATAAATATTTTTGATTTTTATAATAATAGTGGTCATCATTTCTATTTTACATTTTTTATAACACAATTACTTAAAATTTAAAATTAAGAAAATAATATTTATATAATTAATTTTTTTTATTTATATCATTAATTATTACAATAAATCGAGATGAATATCTTGTAATCTGGAATTATACATTTTAATGAATAATAAAAAGTTCAAGAATAAATATTTTTATCATTTTTAAATGTTATAAAAGTACTGTATTTTTTCTATTTAAAGTACTTTTATTTTTTATGCTGAGCAAAAAAAATAAAAGTAAAATTCTTTTGTTATTCAAAGCAAATAAATTCAAAAATTACGCAGATTTATAAAAATCGAGCATATATAAAATTTAAATTAAATGAAAGAACTTTAAATCATGAAAATCATGAAAAATTTGTTTTAATTTAACCTTTTAAAGAAGATAATCCTGCTCTCATAATTTCATCTACTAAAAGAAGATTACTGGCGATGATCGTGCTATAAATAAAAATTAAATGCATATTTCAGAAAAAATATAATAATAAATTGTTATAGTAAATTCCATTTTAATTTAAATAGAATTTTATAAGTATGCTTACCATGAATTAATAATTTGCTTTTTCACATTGTAATTATCATAAATACCAGCATCCGTGGGTTTTAATGCTTCATCTGTAGAAATATCTAATCCTACTGCTTCACCCAATGCAGATCTTTCTTCTAATAATTTAACAATTGTATCTTGTGCATCAAATCCACTGTTTACAGCTAAATGATTATTATTATGAATATTAAAATAAACTTTAATAAGTTATATAAAGTAACAATAAAATTAATTCAAAAAATTTTTACCAAGAGTTTTTGGAATGATGAGTATAGCTTCCGCATAAGCTTGTACACCTAAACGTTGTTTTCCTTTTACTTTTTCTTTATATTGGTGGAGTGTTTCACTAGCAGCTACTTCAAAAGCACCAGCACCAGGAATAACAGCACAATCATCAATAGCATTTTTAATAGCTCTTAGACCATCTCTTACAGCATCTTTTAATTGTTCCAAAGTATATTTATTTGGTCCCTAAAAAATTTTTTATATTAAAATTAAAATTAAAAATAAAAATAAAAAAAAACTCACTAATTTAATTTATTTACAATTTTACCTTCAATAGAATTGTTACAGAATTTGGTTTCTTGCATTCTTCAATAAATGTATATTTTGTCTCTCCCTATAAAAATATAAAAAATAAAAAAATGTTTTTTATTTTGCTAAATAATATTATTATTAACAAAATAATTACTATGCATTATATCAAAATTATAAAAAATATTTACCAATACATGTTCATATACAAGTCCAGCCCATCCTAAATGTTCTTCCTTTATATCATCAAAAGAATTCATAGCTGTTCCACCACAAGCCAGTGCTAAACGTTCCATATTTCTACGTTTTGCTCTACGCAAAGCTAAAATGTTTTCTCGAGCAAGCATATCCAAAGATGGTGGATCAATGCCTTTTTGATTTATAACGACGAATGATTTATCCGTTCCATCGCATAATTTCTTTTTTAGTTCAATTATTTTTTTTACTCGATTATCAATAAATTCACGCTCAGCAGCGACTAATTTCTCTCGTTCTTCAGCAGTTTTGTAAAAGAATCCACTGTTTACCTTTATAATAAATATTATTTCATTATTTGAATATATATAAATATATATATTATAAATTATAATATAAATATGATAAATCCTTCTTTTAAATTAATTCATTTACCTCACTCTTTTCATATTCTAAACTAACATTACAAGTCAATATGTAAGCATTTTCTACTCTTTTAGGCATATCTGGATGTCTAGATCCATGATCAGTTACAATACCAAGAATCAAACTAGTATCTGCTGCAGTTCTATGTTGCATTTCCATTAATTCAATCATGTGTAAATCGATTTCCTGATCTTTTTGTCTAATAGCCAAAACTGCATCCACACATATTTCTGTCAATTTATCAGCTATAGATGGATGGATCTTAGTTCTAAGTGATGTTCTAGCAACATTCATTAAGTTTTCTTTTGAAGGCTCAATTGGTATTTTCAGAGAATCTAATACTTCTAAAGTTTTGATTCTAGCTAATTCAAAACCTTCTGTAAGCACTCTAGGATGAAGACCTTCAGAAATATAAATATCAGCTTGTTTTAAAAGTTCTGCAATAATCAAAACAGTACTAGTTGTACCATCTCCAGTAATATCATCTTGAGCAGTAGATGCTTTAGCAATTAAAGAAGCTGTTGGATGTTGAATTTGCATTTCATGTAATAATACATTTCCATCTTTTGTGATTTTAATATCACCTGCACCAGAAACAAGCCTTAAAAAAATAAGATCAAAATTATATCAATATTTTGAACAGAAATTGAAATTTTAAATATGTATTACAATAAAAAATATATATTAAAGATACGATTAATAAATGTATGTTCATGTATTATTTCAGATATATTAAATTACAGATTTTACTTGAAATAAATCTGAAAAAAAAAAATCTTAAAAATCCAAGAGATAAAGATAGAAAGGGAAAAAAAGAGAAATAATGCAAATTTAAAGAAAAGAAAAAGATTTATATTAAATTTTTGGAACTGATAAAAATATTTTATAATTTTAAAATATTCTAACTTTCTATATAAAACATTCTATATTATAATTATAAAAATTCTATAATTATAAATTATTGATTTGTAAATTTTTTGAGAATTTTTATATTTCATAATTATCAATATTTTATAGAAAAATCACTCTTACTTAATAATATATAAATCTACATAATTTTTCATATGTATATAATTGTTATATAAAATAATAAATATAAAATTTTTTTATAATTTTATATATCTTATTTAATTTTTTGTGTGTTTAATTTTATATAAGTTAATAACTTACATAAGTTAAATAAAGTAATTTTAATAATTAAATAACTTAAACAATTGTTAAATTTACACGTGAACATTAATATACGTACATCTTCATGGTGCCTTTCGGTCCAAGATTCGTTTTCATTACATCCTGAATTCCTTTTGCGGCAGATATATTAACGGCCAACGCTTGAGCGGCTCTAGCAAATTCAGCTTTGGGATTTAACAAACTAATTGCAGCCATTTCAAAGATATAATAAAAATAATTTATAGTGTATTAAAAGTATGTAGTCTTTCAATACGTAACTTTCATCAATGGCTTCTCATCTGAATAATATAGATTATTAACTATTCTAGGAACTTTTAGTTTCTGAAAGTTATAATATTTGTCATTGAAAATTGAAAAATTCATTAAATAATATTTTATAATGCTATTAATAACAATATTTAATTTAAGAAAAACATTTTTCTAATTTATTAATTTAATCTTAAATTTTGATTTAAAAACAATCTTTAATAAAAATGCACTACCATGAACAATGAATCTTTAGATCATATATATATATATGACTTATGTATAAAAATCTATGAGTAAAATAAAGTTGAACATAAAATGTAGTTACTTGTGGACAAAATATATTTTAAAATAGTGAATTAGACACTATTGTTACAAGCAATTACGTACAAGTAAAATTATATATTTATTTGTAAATAATTTTTAAATAATTATTTATAATGATACAAACATATTAACATATTAATTTGTAATTGCATTATAAAAAAATAATTTATTAATAAATCATAATAGAATAAAAAGTAAATTTACAAAAACTATTTCATTTTATAATTAATAATTAATAATTTTATTATTAATTATTAAACAATTTTATAATTAAACAAATAATTTTTTTCTACACATACTGTTCTTATTATTTTTTTAAAAATTAAAATGCGTATGTTATAAATCATAAACATAAGTTTTAATGTTATAAATCATAAACATAATAGTAAAGTTTCACATGATTTTCATTATTATAATATTGTTGCAAATTTAATGCTAATTTAATATCTAATTTTTTCAATAACAAAAATCATAATATTTAATACTGTGATTATATAAGTTAATACAAAAATGTTTTATTTATTACAAATTTACAATTGTATATTTTTATTAACGTATATATGTTTTATTTTAGTGATTCTTCATATTCTATCGATTCATTGAAGAATATTTTTTTCGACAAATTGTAATTTCAAATTGTAATTTCAACTTTTACATATGACATGATATCGACATATCTTATATTACTTTGATAAAATAAATGTCAAAATTATAATTATAATGTTATTTTTTTTCCCAATTAATTTTTTTTTTTTTATTATTTTTAAAATTATAATTGTCGAATGAATATAATATACTAGAAATAACTCAATTTTTCTATGAATTTCTGCAGAAGAAGAATATATAACATTATTTCTACATTTCTATATTATGTAAAAACATCATGTGATACGATGCAACGTTTGACTTCAACAAGAAACTTTTAGTAGTAGAAAAAACAGTATATTATGCTCGTCTTTTAAATATATAACGATTTATGAATTACGATTTATGAAAAAAATATATAAATTAATAATAATATATATATATAAATATATAAAATTAATAATAAATTAAATAAAGATTTTTAAATATTTATCATAGTTGTATATGCAGAAATATGTTTTCAATAATATTTTTAATGTTAAAGAATTACATCATATAAGTTATTATAATAAATAAAATAACGATTGATGAAATTAATTTTAAATGAAATTGTAAAATTAATATTTTTAATATTTTTAATATAATTATCATAAGCATAAAAGATTTCATTCTTTACAATGAATATTATATGTATGAGATCATATAAAAGTGCTAGTATAATAACCTTATTGTGTAAGTTATTTTAATATTAATTAATTATATTTAATTATTTTATTTAAGTAGATATTAATTTATATTACTAATTTATATTGATAATATAAATTATTATTGAAATTATATTATAGGTAAAAGATATATATCAGATTTTTCATTTGTTCCTAAATGCGAACCTACAAAAGATTCATATTTATTGAAGTTAAAAGATTTTATTGATAGTCATGATAATATATGTGTACTAACAGGAGCAGGAATATCTACAGAAAGTGGTATTCCTGATTATAGATCTCAAGGTGTTGGTCTTTATGCAAGAAGTAATCATAAACCAGTTCTTTATAAAGATTTTTGTAATAGTGATGCTATTAGAAGACGATATTGGGCTAGAAATTATATAGGTTGGCCAAGGTTGTAATTTTTTTGATGAAAATGATTTTAAAATATTATATAACTTTAATATTTTAAAAAAATATTAATTTTATAGATTTTCTTCTATCAAACCAAATAATACACATAAAATATTAACGAAATTAGAAAATGCAAATAAAATAAGATATATTATTACTCAAAATGTTGATAATTTGCATACGAAAGCAGGAAGCAAAAAAGTGATAGAATTACATGGAACAGCATTTAGAGTAATGTGCCTTAAATGTAATGAAAGAATATGTAGATATTATTTGCAAGATATTTTTGATAGAATTAATCCAAATATGACAGTAACTAGTCAAATGATCAGACCTGATGGAGATGTGGAATTGACACAAGTAAATGATATAATAAATAATTCAAAAAATTCAAATATAATTTAAAGAAAGTTAATTTAAATGATTTATATTTTAGGAGCAAGTAAAAACATTTAAAGTTCCAACATGTGAAAAATGTGATGGTATTCTTAAACCAGATATAATTTTCTTTGGTGATAATGTTCCACATCAAATTGTAGAAAATATAAAATATAATATTGAACATTCAGATTCCCTTTTAATTATAGGTACTACATTAACTACATTTTCTAGCTATCGAATAGCATTACAAGCTAATAATATTGGAAAACCTATAGCTATATTAAATATTGGAAAAACTAGAGTAGATAACCTTGCAAAAATTAAAGTAGAAGGTAGATGTAGTAACGTCCTATCGAAAATTTATTCAATGATCAATTAGCATAAAAATATATTATATTTTAATGAAATATTTTAATAGAAATAATATAAATAGTTCTTTATTTATTTTTTAAATCATGGCTGTGATTATTTTATTATTATTTATTATATATAATTCGTATAAATAAAAGATCTTCAATAAATTTGTTTTTACGATTGTTTTTGTAACATTATATTAACATTATATTATATGAAAAATTAGATCAATTAAGTAAATTATAATTTGGAATCTTAAAATTTTTTAAAATGCCTTTTTAAAAATGTATTTTTATAGATTTTGATATAAAATAAATATAAAATGATGTTTTTAATTATTTCGAAATTCAATAGGTTTAAAAATTATTTGCATATAAAATTTTGCATTATTAGAAATTTTTGCGAATTATATTAACAAGTTTTTGCTCAAACTGATTGGACAATAGAAATATTATATATATCAAATTGCATTTCGGATAAAGAACTTTAATAAAATTAATTATTATTTATTAAAAAATAAGTTAAATCAAAAATTCAATTCTTATTGAGAATTCTTTTGAGATTTTAAAAATAAAAAATTTTTTCTTTTATATTTTAAAAAATATAAAATAAACATTGCATTGGAATTTTATAGAGATTTTATTAAATTAAGTTCTAGGGAATTTTTTTACAGTGATGCATTATTTTTTAACTTATATCTATTTTCGTTGTTATGATAAGTAACTTGCTTAGTACATACATAAATGTTCCCATAATAAGTGATATTACTACGTTTTACGATTAATGAAATGTCGCTAACAAGGTTAATAATTATTTCAAAATTATTTTTTATTATGTATCAAGTTTTGTATTATACAATTTTTATTATGTAAAATATTTGAAGTATTATAATTATTCGAATAATACATTTTAATGTATTTAAATAAAGTTTAAAAAAGTTTTACTTGTTAAATAAAATAAAAGATGTAATCTGAATTTGTATTATTATTGCAATAATTTTATATTGTACATATATTATGCAAAATATCTTAAATTCTATAATTTTTCGAATAATGCATTTTAGTTATTATTATTTCAATAAAGTTTGATATTTGTTAAATAGAATAAAAGATATAATTGTATCTAAATTTTTATAATTATTATAATAATTTTAGTATTTACAAATGTTTTTTTTATAATTTTATTAAATATATTATTTATTAAATTATATAAATAATAAAAATTTATAAATAATTTTTATTATAGTTTATTACCTGCACCATCGCAGGTTGTATGGGACAGAGAGGATGAAGCACGAGAACAAAAATTACGGCAAAGACCTGTATCTGCTCTTGTTAAAGCAGTTATTACTGCTCCACCATATGGTCAACGTAAAGGATGGGTACCAAGAAATCCAGAAGTAATTAATATTTTATATATATATTAATAATAAGAGTAACTTTTTTTAGTTTTTTTTATATTTTTTTTATTGAATTGGTTCTAGGATTTTGGAGATGGTGGAGCATTCCCAGAAATTCATGTGGCCCAATATCCACTTGGAATGGGAATGAAAGGAAAAGAAACAACCAGTAATGCTTTAGCAGTTCAGCTTGATGCTCAGGGGAAAGTGAAATATGATGTTATTGCTAGACAAGGTCATTCTAAAGATAAGGTAATGCAATGCATTTCTTCTTTTACATAAATACTACTTGATTTATCTTTATTTTATTTTATATTTTTTTACAGATTGTTTATAGTAAATTGAGTGACTTATTACCTTCAGAAATTACAAGTGAAGAAGATCCTAGTTTACAGCGTCCACCAAATGAAGAGATTGAGGAACTGACAGAGAAAACTAAGAAAGCTTTGGAAAAAATAACAAGATCAAAAATAGCTGCAGCAATGCCAGTAAGATGTGCAGAGAAACAAGCACCAGCACAATATATTCGATACACACCATCACAACAAGGACAATCATTTAATTCTGGAGCTAAACAGAGAGTAATTAGAATGGTTGAAGCTCAGATAGATCCTTTAGAACCACCTAAATTTAAGTAAGTTTTATAATATGAATTTATTTGGAACAAAGCATTGCATGAATTATATTTTAAATATTAAATTTAAAAAATCTAATACTTCTAAATCATTAAAAATTATTTCTTATATTATGAATAATATAATATTTAACTTAATAGAATTAACAAGAAAATACCACGAGGACCTCCATCACCTCCAGCACCTGTTATGCACTCGCCTACAAGGAAAGTAACAGTAAAAGAACAGAAAGAATGGAAAATACCACCTTGTATTAGTAATTGGAAGAATGCAAAAGTAAATCATTTCTTATATTGTCAATAGTTGAAATTTTATAAATAAAAAATTTATTTTTAGGGATATACAATACCTCTTGATAAACGTCTAGCTGCAGACGGTCGTGGATTGCAACAGGTTCACATAAATGAAAATTTTGCTAAGCTAGCCGAGGCTCTTTATATCGCAGATAGAAAAGCTCGAGAAGCAGTAGAGATGCGAGCACAGCTTGAGAAAAAATTAGCTCAAAAAGAAAAAGAAAAGAAAGAAGACCATTTAAGACAATTAGCTCAAAAAGCCAGAGAAGAGCGTGCTGGATTGAAATCAGCTGCAATGGGTTTGTACATTTTATATATTTTATATAATATTCATTTATATATTTGTGTATTTATAATTTTATTTATATATTAATATATTGAAAACAAGTTTAATATCAAAACTTTAATAGTTTATATTTTTTTTGTATTATATAGAAAAATCGGAAGAGTCACGGGAAAGAGATCAACTTAGACAAGAACGACATAAAGATCGAGCTCGAGAGCGGAACTTAGCGCGTGCTGCACCTGATAAGCGTTCTAGATTGCAACGTGAAAGAGAACGAGATATCAGTGAACAGATTGCACTTGGTTTACCAGCAAAAAGTATTCCAAATAGTGGAGAAGCACAATTCGATCAACGATTATTTAATACTAGCAAAGGAATGGATAGTGGATTTGGTCATGATGACGAATATAATGTTTATGATAAACCCTGGAAAGATTCTAACTCTATTGGTTCGCATATATATCGTCCCAGTAAAAATATCGATAAAGATACTTATGGGGATGATTTGGAAAAGCTTGTTAAGACGAACAGGTATTTTTTTTTGTTGATTAAATTAATAAATATCTTTAGAAGCAGTTAAAATGATAGAAAAGAATGCTTGAATTAAATATTTTTATAATAAAATATTTTTTTTATAATTTTAGGTTTGTTCCGGATAAGGAATTCAGTGGAACTGATAGATCGACGACACGATCAGGGCCAGTTCAGTTTGAGAAAGACGAAGAAGATCCTTTTGGTTTAGATCAGTTCTTGAAGCAAGCCAAACGTGCAAGCAGTTCTACTACTACAACTACAAAACGTAAAGATGAACGGGAACAACGGAGAGATGATCGTGATAAACGAAGGAAACATTAAATTTTCTTGTTTTTTAATTTAGAATAAATTTTAAACATTTTTTTTCTTCAATGCTATTTATGTTTAATTTTAAAATTAAATAATTGAACTTTAATTATTTCAATAATTATTTGATTCAATTATTTTTTATTCATTTCAATTAATCTAATCAGTGTAATTCTACATAAATACATAATTCAACACATATAAATAGATGTAAATGCCTTAGAATTTTAAAAAATTATGATTTTTTTCTATTTCTTCACATCATACTGTAACAGAAGTACAACTTTAAAACAAAAAAAATAAAAAAAATGTATACAAAATTATTAAAATTGCTAATCATTAATAAATAAAAATAGTAATTTTTTTTCAATGATTTGTTATATTTCATTTAACAAAAATAAAGCTGGTTAAATTTGTTTCAGACTCAGTTCTTTATTAACACAATGTGCATACAGCAGATTAGATTAACAAAGGAGGCGATACTTTCGTATGGAGAGCGATTGTTATTTCTTAATTAATAATATAGTTATTTACTTTCTCATCAAATATTTTTTTTTAATGCATAAAAGTTTATCGATATTATTTTTACAAGTTATTTTTTGAAGATCGCGTCAAATTGAATCAAATTTAACAATATTATTGTAAATTCATGAATATATATTAAATTCATATTAATGATAATTTTTAATATTATATTGCTTTATATGTAATGCTACTACTTTTTTTTTTGTTCTTGCGATTCCCAAACTGTTCCGATTTTTTTTTGAAGTTATTCTAATGGAATTTATAATATTTCTACTTTGGTAATATTTTTTACTAATTTTACTAATGTCAAATTGAAATTTATATCTTTTACTTAACTATGTATATGTGAGATCTTCCGCTTTACTTTTATACAATTCAATTGAAAATTATTGTAAAATATAAGATAATTATGCAGAAACGAGTTTGGAGAACACTGAACTGTGTTTATAAATATGATCGAAAAATCTTTTTGTTTTCGTAGAAAGAAATAAAAATTGATGAATAATTTCGTCATTTTTTAATAAAAATGGAAACGCATATGTATATTTATAGAAATCAGCAAATAATAAATGAATTTGTGAGAATGTTTATGATGATTTCTTTTCCTTTTAAACTTTCTTATAAATATTTCTCTCTTAACACGACTTAGAAGGTGATCTTTTTAATCAGTCTTTTCTTTTTTTTTTTCATTCATAAGATTATCACAGAAAAATTTCTATGCTGATTTCTTTTTATCTCAAAAATTCAAATGAATAATTCGTTTTGTTATTCACGCAAATTGACGCGATCTTTTAGTTTGTATTAGATTGATCTCACATTCTTTATTGTAAACCATATCCTTAAAAGCTATATTAAGATTTTTCTGCCAAACTTTAATGGAATTATTATTCTCTTTCGCGAATATTATAATATAATCAGAAAACTCTCCTGATGAGAAAGACTAGATTTAATAACGCTGAAGACTACAGACTTGTTTGGAAGTTTATATATAATGAACACTATCAATCATTTCAGTTGTGTTCAAGTTTTCAAGATTTTGTTTTTTTTAGCTGTAAGACATAATACCAATTCTTGCTTTAACAATATGAATAAATATTTTTAAATTTTATAAATATTTAATATGTAATCATTATAACTTATTTTTTTATTTGTAAAATAATAAGTGCACAGAATAAGAAATATGATAGCAGCCAAATTCTATAATTTTATATAAAAGGTAAAAAACTTTAACTATATCTGAAAATCTATCACTTTTATTTCAAATACATATTTTTCTTTTTATTTTAAACGTGTATTTTTTTTTTATTTTCAGTCAAAATAAGCTATTAATTCAAAATCATATAATTTTGAAATAACTGAAGAATTTAAATTATGTAAATATAAAAAAATATAATTTATATATTATATAAATAATTATATATTATTTATTATATATATATAAATAATTATATAATATAATAATATAATATATAAATAATTATATATATATAATTATATATTAAACAGATATTAGAGATATTAGCTTGTCAATAGCATTACAAAAAGTTATATTCTAAGATTTTTATTAAAGTAATACAAAAATAAATTTAAAAATTTATACAAAAATTGTTAAACGTCTAAATATATGACGTTAAACATGATATAAAGAAATTCCTAAATTCTGAATGAATTATAATTTATCAAGTATCAAATTTTATTGGTTTATTATTTTGAATTGAAATTAATAAATTTTTTTATAATTATTATTAATTGATATTACGATTGCTAATATATCTATGTACAAATTATTTATTTTTCCAAATATAATTCTGTAGCCTTCAAAAAGATTTCTATTACATAATCTTTAAAATGATCGGTCAGTTTCTCATCTCTTAACAATAAGGTGTGGCAGTATATAAGGCATATAAGTTGTCTTCTTCTTTAAACAGCCTTCTAAAGACTTATCCTAGATCCTTGTAACATTGTTTAAGATGATGTTGAGAATTATTTATACATTACGAGACGAGAAACCAACTATTTGATTAATTTAAATTTTTCGTTAGTACTTACATTGCTTTGGAAAGAAAAAAATTGCTTAAAGATTCGAACACTCAAGCAAAATTTGTGAAACATGACGAATAAGATTGCGAATGTTTATGCTTGATAAATATGTAAAAAGCATATGATACTTATACATGAAAAATATGTAAATATGAATAAAAAAATTTGTATATCTGTAAAAAATACATATTTATAATGTACAATATAAGATATAATACATACATATTATAATGTATTATGTATACATGTAATGTATCAAATATTAAGAATATTTTGTTTTGCAATTATTATGATATATTTTAATTTGAATTATGATAAATTACAAGCATTTTTTCTAAATTTAATAGCGTTAATTGATAACATTTATTGATAAAAATTCATTTATATATGGAAAATAATGTTTTTATGATACAATATAAATAATTAATAATTAATACATATTTAAATTTATTTCAGTAATATTGTGTGGCGCATTTATCGATTTTTGTATAAATTCGTTAAAATAGTTGAAATTTTAATTAACGCAGTAAATTCTATATATTTTTCTAAGATAACAATTCATTATTTCATTCTTTTTCATCAGAAATCATCAGAAATATTTTTTAAATGAATTAGATAATTATTCATTTAAAATATCTTTATTGAATTGTTTAATGAAAAAAGAACCAAAATATCTAAATGAATTTTAATGAATATTAAATTTTGTCTAATTTCATTATGTTAAAATAGTTCTTATGTAATTTTAATTGCAATTCTTTTTTTAAATTTAAATTATTTATTAACATAGAATTAAATAGATATATTTCAAAGTTTATTTTATTACTTTTGACTATTTAAAAAAAATAATTCGATAAATTTTCGTCTTCTTAAAATTTTCAATATAAAATAATATTGTTTTAATCTGCATATCTTAGCTTTAAAATATGTATCTAATTAAAATAGATTTCGTTAAAAAAATAATTTTTTTAAATATTTTTTAATATGCTTCAATATGAAGTGATATAAAAATAAAAAAAATTCTTTTTACGAATGATATTAATTTGTTAACCAATGAAAAGTTAAGTATATAAACATAATATATCCATATATATAAATAACATATACAATATATTTTTGCATATGTTATATATGTTAAATATAAATATGCAAAGCATATGTATTATGCAAAATAAAAAAATATATTTTTAATTATGAAAAGAAAAAATATTTCTATTCAAAAAAATATTTTATTGTTGTAGATATTTTCTATGAAAATTTATGCATTTGCATAAACATTCGCATTTTAATTATGTATTTTTACAACAACGAAAAACGCCTCATTTTTCGATTTTAAATGTTAATGCTTATAAAGATTGCTATATTTTTGTTTGTCCATTATTGTAATATTAAAAATTTGTTAGACATTGACATGCATCTAATATTGAGATGGAGATTGCTTATCAATTTTCTTAGGCTACGGTTCTATTTTTGTTACAGAATTTTCATTATCATTGTAATTATACAATTATCATTATATATCTATTATATATTTTTTATATACAATCGTTTAAGTATAGCTACGTCCATACTTATTCGAAAAGAATACGATATTACACTAGAACCACTCTTTTTCCATAAACGATTCCTTTTTTATTTTTTTTTTTTCTTTAATTTTTCTTTAAATTATTAAAAAAATTCTTTTAATTCATTATTTAATAATCTTGATTTATCAATAACTGTTATAAAGTCTACGACCAACTGAACATTATCTACATACGTAAAGGGAATACAATTCTCTATTAGAAATAATTATAAATAGCATAAGAAAAATGAATCAAATCAATGTTTTTTTTTCACTTTTGAATGAATAAATACTATACACGCGCCTCTATAGAAATTATTTTATTTTTATCATCTTGCCAAATTTGTTCTTTTTTTTTTCTATTTTGACTGTGATTGGATCCTGCCCAATCTAATAAATTTATACATTCAATTGCTTAGATCTTTTCTTATTTTTAGATCTTTTTTATTTCCTGTTGCATTTTATTTATTTCTTCTTCTTTTCTTTTATTGCGTTGCTTCCTGAAGCACGCTTTTGAATTTCAGCTAGGGAATCACTTGTCTTTTTTCCTTTATCTTGAAGATAAGCTGGCTTCTTTAATCACGTATAAAAGCATTATAAATTCATTTGCTTCCTTAAAATCGAAAGTAAAAGAATTTATGTGTTCCATCTAATAAGAAGACTGGATATTTGAATTATCCAATCATGTTTGGCAGCAAATACTTGAAATATATTATTCAAGTTTTCACAAGAAAATATATATATTCGAGATTTAATATTTTTAGTATAGTCTACATAATTTATATATCATAGTCATAATAGCATTATAATGAAAGCTATGATATATATAAATATATAGAAAATATTTTAAACATTATTTTCTCATGAAATTTTGAATGCTATATTCTATGTATTTGA